CATTCTTCAAAGATCAAGTATCTCTCTATGTTGATCACACTATGATAGCACTGACAACAGAGTCATAAATAAAACATAATCCCTGCCCAGTGTAAGATCCAAGCCCAGTGGAGGATAACAGTGATGGTAAGGAAGATGCTAACAAAAGTATTTACATTCTGCTTTATCACATACCAAGACCTTTTCACATCTTTGCTCCAGTTTGCAGTGGAGGATGCTTGGGAAATAGTATACGTCAACCCTATGGTATGAGTAAATTAGTGGTCAATTTTAGACTTAATCTCAGGTGTCCTACTCAAAATCCCTTCACATCTTGTAGCATCTTGGCCACTGCATCTGCCACTCTGGTCCCAGGGAAGGAGTGTACTCCCAAAATGAAGAGACTGTATCTCCTTCTGGCCTGAGCATTGAGTAGAACTTTGTGGAGGGTTTGGTTTTTCAGAAAAGGGTTGAACAAACACATTCTTTCCACTCCTGAACCTTGCATCCTTGTTAAGCTGGGTCTCCAAAGCCAAATTATCCTACTCTGGAAAGAATATGAAGTAAGAGATCCAATAGCTGTTCTTGGCCCTAGAATGATTCCCAGATGGAAAATCGGTAAGTACAATAGGTTATTCATTCTGCTGTTGAGTTTAGAAAACTTGCAACTCCCTTTACAAGCATCAAATGTGACTTACCTGTGGTATAATTGAATACATCACCCAAAGGACTCTGCCCTGCCTTGTTGTAGGCAAACACACTAATGAAATATGTGAAGCCGCATTCACATAAGAAATTGCACTGAGTGAGAGAGGTATTGCAGTGTACTTCCAAGCCATCATCGCTCTTTACAAAGGCCACATAATAATCACGCAGTTCTACATTGGACCACGCCACAGACAAGTGTCCAGGGGGGTCTTCTTGAATTGTCACTCTTCCAGGTGCACAAGCAACTAGGAAATGGTCATAATAGGCAGTTGTAAGACTCTTGTGGGAGACTTTCTTTGTATCTTGATGGTTATCCAAGGTGTCAACAGTAACTCTGAGTTTTGTAACAGATCAAATTTGATGCACAACATGCAAGAACATGTACCAGAAACATTAGAAAAATTTTCTTTCTAGAAACAAAATCTGTGCTAAACTTCAATGATCTATACAAATTATTTCATTATAATAAATATTGAAATAATAGGTGGATGGAGGCATTTATTTGTTTGAAATAGGGTCTTTACAAAATATTTTATTTATTATTTTTATCTTGTGTGTATGAGTGTATTACCTGCGTGTATATAAGTGCACCCATGTGGTGCAATGCCACAGAGATCAGAAGAGGGCATTGGATCCCCTGGAACTGGAGTCAAGGACAGTATTAGCTGCCTTGTGGATGCTGAGAACCAAACCAGGTTCTCTGCAAGAGCAGCCAGTGCTCCTAACCACTGAGCAATCTCTCCAGCCCTGAAACAGGGTCTTATGTGGTCCAGGCTGCCCTCAAGCTCACTAGATAGCTTGACTAATGACTTTAAACTTCTGATCCTGCAGCCTTCACCTCCCAGATGCTTGGATTTCGGATGTGCACCAGAACACCAGGTTTATGTGGTACTGGAGATCAAACCCAAGGCTTCCTGAATGCTAGACAAACAATTTACCAACTGAACTACATCCTCAGCCTAGGCCATGGGAGTTGATAGCCAATTTAAGATGTGTGAATTTTCATTTTCAGAGTATTTATTGAAATATTTGACTTTATTCAGAGATGAAGGCTATCTGACATGAGTGGCATAGTGAATACCCCAAAACTGTCTCTTTTAAAAAGTAAAAATATGGCCATTGTGATTTTTATTAACAATTTCTCTTACTCTTATAACAATTACTATCGCTTTACATTTGAGGAAAATGAGACCCATAGAGGTTAGCTGTGTTGTCCAAGATTATATAGTTAAAAAGTTAGGGGGAACTGGGTCTTTCTGGGGGCAGCATGCAAAGATTGATGGTATGGGAAGTTTTCCTAATTGCAGCCTTCCATGTACTCAGAGACAGAACCATATTACTTCTCCAAGGAGCATCCCAAGCAGACAATTAAAATATTAAATGCTACAGACAAGGAACAAATCAAATGGTAAGTATAGTTCAGTGCAAACCAAGGATGCATTCTTAGATGTCCTAAATTTTAATTTCACACAACAGATGCTAGACTCTCCCTTTCCCAGGCATAGATCACCTTGACTAATACTGCCCGCTTTTCTGTGCTAAGGCAACACTTCATTTATGTAAGATCAGCATGGAATGAAGTCTTCTGAAGGAATGATTTCAAATGAAGGTCATTCATTCAAGCCTGAAGCTTTCAAAGGTTTGGTTATTTCTAATGTAAATCCTCCTAAAGTATATTTCACATTTCTGGGCCCAAGGAAACCAGTGTCCTTTCTAAATATAGTTCTTTTATTGATAAATCAAGGTTGTACCCATAATCATTACTGTTTGTTAAACAAACTACAATGGTGCTTCTTGAAGCGACAAGGGCAGGAAGGGACAGTATGGAGGACTATTTCAGTGACATTTAACATTGATAACACATTGAAATCAATAGGGAGCTTTTAAAAACTGCTCATATCCAGATTCTAGCCCCGGAAACTCCAATTTAATTGGTCCTGATGGGATCTAGATATTAAAATCTTATAAAAGCTCCCCAGATGCTTTTTAAAAAATATTTATTATTTTTATTTTATGTGTATGAGTGTATTACCTTGCATGTATGTAAGTGTATCCATGTCGTGCAATGCCTATGGAGGTTAGAAGAAAGCGTTGGAACCGCTAGAACTGTAGTTATAGATGGTTGATAGCTGCCATGTGGGTGCTGGGAATCAAACATGCAGTGCCACTGGAGAGATGGCTCAATGGTTAAGAGCACTGACTGCTCTTGCAGAGGACCTGGGTTCGATTCTCAGCACCCACATGGTGGCTATGAACCATCCTTAACTCCAGTTCCAGGGGAATCCAACACCCTCTCTGACCCCCAGATGCTTTTTATGTGCATCCAAGATGGAAAAACACAGGATTCTCCTGCCTTAAATGACTAACTTGGAACTTCTATGCTTTTGAAAGTGTTTCTTATCTCTTCCTTCACCCTCAGCTACTCTGTTCTCATAAGCACTTGTATTATGCCAGCCACAATAAATTATAGTCGTCAAAAGAGAAGTCTAATCATCAAGCTTGTGTTGGTGAATTTAATTTAACATAACCCTATAAAGCTGTGAGTCTAAGAGTCTGACTGTATTTTCCTTCCCCATAGGATAGAGGACATCATCTTGATGAGAGCACCTTTTTTTCTGTTCAGAAGCCTTTTTAATTTACAATGACATAATTCTGACTGTTGGAGAAAGTGGATATTATTACATTTTCTTTGGCTCAGAAGACTGAAATCAGGCAAACCTGAGCTCAGACCTCAGCTCCATCACTTATTATCAGTGTGCACTGGAGGAAATGTCGTTTAGTCTCTCTGAGCTTCATTCTTATCTAAAAAGAACAGATAAGCCAGCCTTGATGGTACACACCTGTGATGCCTAAGATATAGTAGATCCCCACTAAAATGTTGGTTCCAACTCCCCAAACACACAAACACTTCCAAGCACAGAAGTGAATCTCCACATATGTGTCTTTACATCTCTGATAAGAATAAACTGGCAAAATGTCTAAACACATTTGAAACTAGAAAAGCCCGTCTTTATCTTCAAAAATAGCTCCTACCAAACTTTAGCTATAAACAGGGACTGGGGAGATGGCTCTGTGGTTAAGAACACTTGTTCTTCAAGCATGAGAACCTGAGTTTAAATTTCTAGCACCCACTAAAATGCTGGGCATAGCTTCACGTGCCTGTAATCCGAGCATGGGTGGGTAGAGACAGGTAAGTCCTGGGAACTCAATGGCCAAACAGCCTAGCCAAAAGAAGGTGAACTTCCAATTCAAGGAGAGACCCTGTCTCAAGGCGAGAAAGCAGAGAGTGATAGAGGAAGGCATTTGATGTCCTGCTCTGGCCTCCATGAGTACATTTACCATGCATATATCACAGACAGACAGACAGACAGACAGACAGACAGACAGACACACACACACACACACACACACACACACACACACACACACACAAGAGGCAGCTAGTTACCTGTACTACACAGAGTTGTAGATAATGCAAACTGGCACATGCCTTTAATCCCAGCACTCGGGAGGCAGAGGCTGGCGGATCTCTGTGAGTTCAAGGCCAGCCTGGTCTACATAGTGAGTTCCAGGACATCTGGGGCTACGAGGAGACCCTTTCTCAAAAAGACAAAACAAAGAACAGCAACAACAACAACAAAATTATTTTAAAAAACCAAAAAACCACAACAAAAAACCCCAACAAGCTAAGTGCAGTGCCCCACACCTTTAGCCCCAGCTAGTAGAGAAGCTGAAACAGGAGGATTTCTGGTTCAAGACAGCTTAGACAGTGAGTCTCTGTCTCAAAAGTAAAATAAAACAGCTTACAATGAAATAATGGGGCTGGAGAGATGACTCAGCAGTTAAGAACACTGGCTGCTCTTGTAGAGGACCTGGGTTCAATTCCCAGCGCCTATATGGCAGCTGCCAACCATCCATAACTCCAGTTCTGGGGAGTCCAACACCTTCTTCTAACCTCCATGGGCATTGCACAACACAGGTGCACTTACATACATGCAGGCAATACACTCATACACTAAAATAAAAATAATAAATAATAAAAAGCAAAAAACTATATAATGAAATAGAAGAAAGATAAAAAGGTAAGAAATTAATGAAAGATCTGGGATAGGAGACAAGCCTCTGAATATTCAAAGTGCTTTCTGCATTATATAAAATATGGTTTCCAATCAATAATATTTACTCATCAAGGTTTTTATCTAGACCTGGGTTATCTCCTTTTTTTCATTTCTTTAAAAAAAGTTTTTTAAAAATATTTTATTTATTATTTTTATTTTATGTGTACATGTGTATTGCCTGCATATAGGTAAGTGCACCCGTGTTGTGCAATGAATTCCCGCAGAGGACAGATCCCCTGGAACCAGAGTTACGGACAGTTGTTAGCTGCTATGTGGGTGCTGGGATTCTTTCATTTATTATTTTTGTGTTTGTGTGTATGTTATTTGGGGGAGGTGGGAAGTGCAAAGACAACTTTGTGGAGTCAATTCTCTCCTTCCACCTTTATGTGGGTACCCAGATTGAACAGAGGTTATCAGGCTTGTGTGACAAGTGCCTTTACCTCTGAGCCATCTTATCAGCTTCTTTTCTTTTCTTTTCTTTCTTTCTTTCTTTCTTTCTTTCTTTCTTTCTTTCTTTCTTTCTTTCTTTCTTTCTTTCTTTCTCTTCCTTCCTTCCTTCCTTCTATCATCTATCTGTCTATCTATCTATATCTATCATCTATCTGTTTTGCTTTATTTATTTTACTTTATTTTTATTTTTGGTCTTTTTGAGACAGGGTCTCTCAGTAGCCCCAGCTGGCCTGGAACTCACAGAGATCTGCCTGCCTCTGCCTCCTGAGTGCTGGGATTAAAGGTGTGCACCACCATGTCCAGCTCATTTTGCTTTATTTTTATTTTATGTGTATGTGTGTATTGTGTGCATGTATGCAAGTGTCATGTAATGCCCACAGAGGTCAGAAGAAGGTGCTGGATCCCTTAGAACTGGAGTTTTAGACAGTTGTTAACCACCATGTGGGTGCTGGGATTTGAATCTGGATCTTCTGTAAGAACAGCCAGTGCTCTTAACTGCTGAGCCATCTCTCCAGTGCCCCCGCCCGCTTGTTTTTTTTGATACAGGGTCTCACTATGTAGCTCTGACTGGCTGGAACTTGCTATGTAGATCAGGCTGGTCTTGACTTCTCAATGATCTACCTGCCTCTGCTTCCCAAGTACTAAGATTAAAGACATGTGCCGCCATGCCTAGCTCTTCTTTCTTTCCTTTTTTTTTTTCTTTTTCCTTCTTTCTTTCTTAATGCGAAGTCTTGTTATATAGCCCTGGCTGATCTGGTACTCACTATGTAGCCCAGATTGGCCTTGAATTCATGGCAATCTTTCTGCCTCAGCCTCCCAAATATTGGGATTACAATGCTCACTATGCCCAATTTAGATCAGGCTTTTTCTTTACTGCCTCCAGTGTGTTCCAGAACCTTGTTGGGAATCTCTGTTTCCCTTATGGCAGCCACTCTGCTTGCCAGCCCTGCAGAGCTTTCACTCTTGCTTACATACCAGTCTTCAGGGTCACAGCAGAGGAGGACTTGCTAGAGCCAGCATCGTTGCTTGCTGAAACAGAAATCAGGTACTCAGTTCCACACTGCAGGGAAGAGACACTACAGGAGCTGAGAGTTGTACTGCAGCTCCTCTGGGAAGAGTCACTCAAAGCCATCACAGTGTAGTTGAAAGCTCCCTCTGTCGGTGTCCATGAAACAGATGCCTTTAGAGCTCCACTGTCAAAAGAGACTTGAATGTTGGCAGGTGCACGAGGACCTGTGTTTTTGAGAAACAATTAAGATTTTGTAGTAGCTTCAAGAACCCAAGTAAGATTTATCTTAGGAACGTAGAGGAAACCAGAGGGTAAGTTACCCCAATAGCTGGATAACTTTAAGTGTTCAAGGCATAAACTTGGGTATTAGGGTATTTGGGAATTGATAACATACCTGCCATTAACTGTGCAAATGTATACTTATCTATGTAACCCTAGCCATACTATTTGATCTTTTTATTACTTTTTCTGCATCTGTAAAAATGGATACAGGAACAGTGTTAATACAGGATAGGTATTTAAAAGCATACTTTGAGTGTGTGAATATATATTCAACAAGTGGTAAAGAATAGCATTTGAGAAGCCAGGTGTGGTATAATCCCAGCATGGAGGAGGCTCAGGAAGAGGCACTGGGAGTTGGAAGTCAATCTGTGTGACATAGTGGAACCTGGTCAAAAACACCCCAAACCTAGCTGGGCATGGTTGGTACACACTTTTAATCCCAGCACTGGGGAGGGGAGGCAGAGGCAGGCAGATCTCTGTGATGTTGAGCGCAGCCTGGTCTACATAATGAGTTCCAGGCCAGCTGAGGCTACAGGGAGACCCTGTCTCAAAAATACCAAAAACAGAACAACACCCCAAACCAATAAATAAGTAAATAAATAATTAAATAACTAAAATGAGCTTATAAATATGAAGGACTGAGCCATGCATGGTGGCGTACGCCTTTGATCCCAGCACTTGGGAGGCAGAGGCAGGTGGCTCTCTGTGAGTTCAATGCCAGCCTGGTCTACATAGTGAATTCCAAGACAGGTGGGGCTACAGGGAGACCCTGTCTCAAAAAGACCAAAAAAAAAAAAGATGAAGGACTGAAAAGGCCATATGAGTATGTTGTTATAAGGTATGTTAACTGTTTTCTCTACTATTGATTGATGAAGCTAAACATCAAGCTGGGGATGTAGCTTAGAAATAAAGTATAATCAAGCTGGGGATGTAGCTTAGTAATAAAGTATATGCCAAGCATGGGTGAGTTCCAAGGTTTAATCCCTACCACTACACACACACACACACACACACACACACACACACACACACGCGCGCGCACACACACACACACACACACGCACGCACACACACACACACACACACACACACACTTCTTAAATTTTTAAGCCCTGAAGACTTTTACTGAATAACTTTAGTTCATAGTTGCTTCTGGGGAAACAAACTTCTCATTCTAAATCAAAGGGAAGGAAGGAAAGTATCAAGTTTAAGGTCACAGATGAAGGTAGTCTTTTGTGTCTTCTATACTCTCTCCCCTCATTCTTATAAGCATGCCCTGCTTTTTTCATGGTTAAAGCACTTATAAACTTGGAGGATGGAGCCAAAGAGATGGCTTGCCACCATGACTGACAACGTGAGTTCAAACCCTCGAATTTACATGTAGAAGGAGAGAACTGACTCCTGCAAGTTGTGTTCCGACCTCCGCATGCAAGCATGTGCACACTCGTATGCACTCACAAATAAGTAAATATAGTAAGTAGAGAAAATTACTTTTAAAAAAACCTGGAAGACATGTCCTCATGACTGAGGAGGAGTTGGCCTCAGCCCTTCTTTGAAATCTATGCTGTAATAAAGATTCCAGCAAGCCTTATAACACTACTTTTGGTGCATGCCTTTAATCCCAGCACTCAGGAGGTAAAGGCAGGCAGGCCAATCTCTGTGAGATAGAGCCCAATCTGGTCTACATAATGATTTCTAGGCCAGCTGTGGCTACAGGGAGACCCTGTCTCAAAAAAAGAAAAGCAAACTGCTTAGGCAGAGATCATCTTCTGCACACACCTGGGCACAGAGGAGGCCCTGTCTGAGGAGGCAGTTTCATGGACACCCAACTCATTCTCTGCAAGGGAGGTACCTGCTGTGTTTCCCTTATAGGCCACCTTGACAGGCCCTTTCCCCTACTGCATGGTCAGCTTGTTCCCTAAGGCCCACAGGGTTCTGATTTAGGGTAATAATACTGGACCAAGGCTGGGAGGGGTTGCCTGCAGTGTTTTAAGACAACAAAATTTCCCCACCAGAGCATTGAAAAACTAGGAAAAACAGGCAGAAGAGGAGAAGACTGTTAAGAGCTGAATTGGGTCCTCTAAAAGTCACAAGTTGAAGTTCTACCTCTAGCTTGTTCAGAATGTCACTCTATTTAGAAATAGGGTCATATGTAATATAAATTTATTAAGATGAAGTCATTAGGATGGGCACTAATCCAGTAAGACTGATGTCTTTATTAAGAAAAAGGAATCTGGGCCAGGCATGGTAGTACAAGCCTTTGATCTCAGCACTTGGGAGGCAGAGGCAGGCGGATCTTTGTGAATTCAAGGCCAGCCTGGTCTAAATAGTGAGTTCCAGGATAGCTGGGGCCACAAGGAGACCCTGTCTCAAAAAGACAAAAAAAAAAAAAAAAAGGAATCTGGACACTGACATATACATTTAGGGAAGATGGCAGCCTACAGGCCAAAGAAAAGTTCTGAACAGATCCTTCCCACAGCTCTCTGGAGGAACCAACCCTGACAACTGTGGAACAACAAATTTCTGTTATTTAAATCACCTAAGTCTGTGGTACTTTCTTACAGCAACCCTAGGAAACCCGTACAGAGGCTAAATTCAAACTCTTCAAATATCTGTAAAACAGAGAAACAGAGCTGGATGTGCTGGCATAAATGAGGTAGAGGCAGGTAGGTCAGGAGTTCAATGCCAGCCTTACCTACATAGTGAGTTCCAAGTCAGCTGGGGCTACCTGAGACTGTTTCAAACAAAAACAAACAAAACAATCATGGGGAAACAGATGAAGGGGAAAGCTTCAAGTAACCAGATATAACACTCTCCTCAAAGCTCATAGCATGGAGGAGGAGGTAGAAAGAATGTGTCAGAAGTCAGGGAAGACTGGTTCAAAACAGTGTTTTCTGTATTTGACAGACTGTTGTACCCTTGAACTCACAGCGTCTGTGGTTGCCCACACAAGGCCTATACAAGATCAAGCCAGTCAATGTTCTTGCAGGCACAGTTAATACTTTCTGGAGGAGGGAGAGTCTGTTTTCTTTAAGAGTGTGCCCTCTTATAGGTCAACCATGCTCCAGTGGATGGCCCCATACCCATGAGTATATGGGCAACACAAATTGGACTCAGAGGGTTATTTAAAAATAAAATTACACAAAAAAAAGAGGACATGAACCTGGGGGAATGGTTAGGGAACTGTTGGTGGATCTGGGACGAGAGTTAGGTGGTAGAGTGGAGGGTAAATATGGTCAAAATTCTTTTTTTGTTTTTTTGTTTTTGTTTTTACTTTTTTGAGACAGGATCTCAAATTTGTGAATTTCCTCTTTTTATTGTTATGTTGGTTTGTTTGAGGCAGGGTCTAAAGGTGTGTGCCACGACACCCGGCTAATGAAATTCTTAAAGAATTAATAAAATATTGTGGGTGTTTTTTTTTTTAAAGGACCAGGGCTGGAGAGATGGATCAGTGGTTAAGAGCACTGGTTGCTCTTGCAGAGGACCTGGGTTCAATTCCCAGTACCTACATGGCAGCTAACAGTTGTCCATAACTCCAGTTCCAGGGAAATCCAACACCCTCGTCTGACCTCTGCGAGCATTGCACCACATGGGCGCACTTACATATATGGAGGCAAAACACTCATACACATTAAATGAAAATAATGTATTTTAGAAAAGAACCAGGTGTTCTCTTGCTCCTCCACCCTGTGCTCCTCCTCCCAATGCCACACTGTGCCCATGTACATTCTAGCAAAGCTCTTTGTTATACAGAGTTGCAATGGTTGTTTATGTGCCCATCCATGGACATAGGTAGTTCTTTGATTATGAGGATCATGCTTCATTTCATTTTGTATTCCCAGCAGCTAAATATTTGTAAGAAAATTACATACATATAATATGAGAGAGAAGGGGGGGAGCGCGAAGGGAAGAAGAGGAGGAGGCGGCAGGGAAGGCAGGGTAGTAAAAGGCCTAGAAAATCTAGCTTGTCACAAATATCCTGACTCACCAAGCCTGCCATGAATCACCTTGGAGCTATTTGCTGTGGTTTCCCCCTATCCTAGTATTATATAAGGCAAATCCTTCTCTTCTCCCTGAATTCTGCCTGGCCCATAGACAATGAGACTTCTATTCCTTCCCAAACTTAGAGAAGTTTGAAGAGAACATTAGAGAACATTTCCAGTTTCTCTCTACCCTTTTGTGGGTCCTCCCCTAAGGGCTAATGTGGTTAAATTGGTGAGAGTATGCCATTTTGTTCAAGTCATTCTCTCTGCCTCTGTCTCTGTCTCTGTCTCTGTCTCTCTCTCTTTTTTTTTTTTTTTTTTTTTTTTTTTTTTTTTTTAAAAAAAAAAAAAAAAAAAAAAAGAGGACGATAAATCTTTCACTGTGATATATCAAAATAAAGATCTGTCTGCCTCTGCCTCCCAAGTGCTGGGACTACAGGTGTGCACCACCATGCCCGGCTTCTCTCTCCCTCTTATACACACACCACCCACACCACGCACACACACACACACACACACACACACACACACACACACACATGCTCCTCCCCTTGCTCCCTCCCATTCTTTAAGCTCATTCCAGTGCCTCAGTTTGGACTTCTTGGTTTCACGCTGTAGATTTTTTTCTCTCCTCTGGGTTCCTGGGGTGGGATGGGCAGCCTATAGCTAGCAGTGGATGGACAACACCATGTCAGCTTCAGGCCCAAGTTGAAGTGTTTGGGGACTCCATCTCTAACACTGATCTCACATGGCGCACCAGGGCAGCAGGAACTCTGTTTTGTTTGTGTCTGTGTCCCTGGAACAATGCTGGCTCCAGGTTGGCACACACTCACTAAATGTCTGTTGAATGAATGAATTCCTGTTTGGCACCATTCTTTTTGTTTAGACTATTGGCCTGAACCCAGGAAAAAACAAGGAGCGATTAATCAACCTAACAAGACCAGGAAGGGGCAAGGAGGGCAATGATCAACCTAAGAATCCTTTCCTTCTGTGTGATCTGGAATGTGTGCTGCAGTGGACTCAGCTATCAGAGGGAGAGGTGCTGTGCTCTGTATGCATGCATTAAGCCTTTGAGCTGCTGAGGAGGAATATTCAAGATACTATAAATAACTTCATCATAAATTTAAACAGCTGCTGCCAGCTGCTCTGTACTCATCACTTAACATTGCTTTTGATGCTGTGATGCACAGCTCCCTCATTAATCAAAAATGAGATTGTTTTGAGGCCAAGCTAAAAAGTCCTTACTGGTTCTCTGATTGCAGGTGGAGTCATCCCCAGGGATTCCATTGGCATTCCATGCATAGGCCTTTATAGTGTAGAGAGTCCCAGCATCTAAACTGCTGAAGGTCAAGGAAGTGTTTGTAGTATTCTCTTTCCAAATTCTACCCAAGCCATTGGCTTGCATAATGGACACAGAGAATCCAATTGCCATATATACAGCATCCCACTGTACAAGGATAGAGTCCGGACTTGGAGAGCTGACTTCCAGAACTGGTGCTGCCAACACTAAAAGTTACAAAGCAAAATAGTGAATTTGTGTTATATAATTCCATAGAGAAGAATTCAAATTATTTAGGAATAATTAAGTGGAGGAAACTCAAGCAAGGCATCATAGTACAACACTATAATCCCAGTACTCGGGAGGCTGAGGCAGGAGGATTGCTTTGAGTTTAGACTGGCTTGGGCTACATAGTGAAATCCTGTTTCAAAAAATCTGAGACAGTGATATCTGTAAATATGAGGCAATACTCTTAAGTGGCAGTTGGTAAAGAGTCAGATAAAGTATGCACAAAATAAGTCAATGAGGAAAAAAATGACTTATACTAATAGTTTTGTAGCCCCAGCTGGCCTGGAACTCGCTATGTAGACTAGGCTGGGCTCCAGTTCATGGAGATCTGCCTGCCTCTGCCTCCCAAGGCAAACTCTACCAGGCTGGGCTGATTATACTAGTTTAATGTGGAGATAACTTTTTTTTTTTTTTTGCAGTGCTGAGAATTAACTCCGAGCCTTGTACATGTTAGGCCAGCACTCTACCACTGAGCTATCCACCCAGGCCTGCACATAGTTTTTCAGAAATATGCTCAGGTATGACTTTATCAAGTCAGTTTAACTCTGAAGACAAACCTTAGATCTGTTAATGAACCTGCCACGTGCTTAATGTGCTGCAAAATCTCTTCTATGTGTTCCATATTTGGCATGGATAAAAACAGAAATCGCTTTTGCAGAAATTTAAAAGCATTCCATTTTTAAGCTACCCAGAAATTAGCTTTAAACTCCAAAGCAAAGTATCAGGCATTTAAATACCATTTCCTCCACAAATAGCTGAATCATCAGAAAACATCATTTGGTGGCTTTTATCTTCAGTCCGTGCATTGTGGCACTCACATGTCCACAAACTATGTCACAAATTTGCAGCACTATTGCAATTAATTCAGGTCATAAGTGAACAGTCAGCATGAGTGGTTTTGCTTACCTGTCTTTGCCTGTTTGGGAGGCGATGCCTGGCTTTGCCCAGCAGCACTGATGGATCTGATGGTGATTTGGTATAAGGTTGCAGCCTTCAAGCCTGTCACAGTGCCTGGGGAATTGGTCACAGTGGTCTCAATGACTGTGTCTCCATCTTTAGCTGTGAGCAAGTAACTGATGGCTCCCGGCACTGTGGCCCATTCTACAGTGATACTATTGCTGATCTTTGAATATGCTTGATCAATAGTGGGTATTTCGGGAGCTGAAAGAGATTTTGAAGTTGTGCCATTAGCCAGGATAGCCTACAAAGAAGACATCTTTCATCTCTTCAAACTATATCATTCTGGTGCTCTCCTACAAATATAAGCTTGGACTTAATTTTCCAGATGCAAGTAAAGACAGAGAAACTGGGTGTGTCGGTCACATGTGTGATCCAGTTACACAGGAGGCAGAGGTAGAAGGACCTCAAGTTCAAGTCAGCCTAGGCAACTTAGCAAGATTCAGTCTCGAATTTTATTTTATTTTTTTATTTTTATTTTTTGGTCTTTTTGAGACAGGGTCTCCCTGTAGCCCCAGCTGTTCTGGAACTCACCATGTAGACCAGTCTGGCCTTGAACTCACAGAGATCTGCCTGCCTCTGCCTCCCAAGTGCTGGGACTACAGTCGTGCACCACCACACTCAGCCTCAGTCTCAATTTAAAAATAATAATGACAATGATAATAAAATAATAATAGGTCTGGGACTGGGCATGGTGGTGTAAGCCTTTAATTCTAGCACTCAGGAGGTGGAGGCAGGCAGATCTCCGTGAGACTGAGGCCAGCTTGGTCTACATGGTGAGTTCCAGGCCAGGTGGAGCTACAGGGAGACTTTGTCTCAAAAAACAAAAACAACTACAAAATAATAGGTCTGAGGATGTCACTCAGTAGTAGAGCACTTGCTTAGTATACATAAGCCCCTAGGGTTAATATCTAATATAACAAGAAATAAATAAATGGAGAGGGAGAGAGAGAGAGAGAGAGAGAGAGAGAGAGAGAGAGAGAGAGAGAGAGAGAGAGAGAAGGAGGGGGAGAGAAGGGAAGGGAGGAGAAGGAAGGGAGGGAGGGAGAAAGCGAGGGAAGGAAGGAAGAAAAGAATGGGGCTGGTAAGATGTCTCAGCAGACAAGAGAGCTTGCTCATGACTGATGACCTGAGTTTTATCCCTGGAACCCACACTCCAAGTTGTCCTCTAACCTTTACACCTGTAACATAGGTGCCCATACGTACACACACTCATATGCAAATACAATAATAAATAAATAAATAAATAAATAGGTAAATAAATGTAATACATTTCTTTTTTTCTTTTTTCTTTTTTTTTTTTTTTTGGTTTTTCTGAGACAGGGTCTCTCTATAGCCCCAGCTGTCCTGGAACTTGCTTTGTAGACCAGGCTGGCCTTGAACTCACAGAGATCCGCATGCCTCTGTCTCCTGAGTGCTGGGATGAAAGGCTTGTGCCACCACAACTGGCTAAATGTAATACATTTCATAAAAATTTTAATAAAAAGAGGGTCCTGCAAGGTGGCATAGGCTATATGTACATGGTGGCCCTTTCCTTTAGTCCCAGCACTCAGGAGGCAGAGGCAAGAGGCTCTCTGTAAGTTCAAGGCCAGCCTGTTCTATACAGTGAATTCAGGCTAGCTGGGACTACAGGGAGACCCTGTCTCAAAAAGACCAAAAAAAAGGACACCCCCCCCGCAAACAACAACAACAACAACAACAACAACAACAACAAAAATTTTAAAAGAAAAGAAGAAACAATAAGAAAGAACCATAGGGGCGGGGCAAGGGGCATAGATGTTTTCCACAAGCCCCCTCTTCCAGTTGTCTGTTGGGGTCATTTGTACTTTCTGTGCTTTTAAATGAGTTAAGTTAGAGTGGAATGTGATCATGGGAAAGGACTCTGAGAAGAGAGAGAGAATAATGGAGGGGCTTTATTCCAAAGTATTCTAGTCTGGTTTGGTATTCTGTGGATTTCCAAGGCTGCTTTGCCATGCCGACCCCTCCCTGCCCTCACCCAGGCTGCCCTGCTTCTAGCCGGCCCTTCAAGCCCACCTTCCTCAATGCCTGTGGTAACTTTCTCATGACTCCGTTTACTTCCCGACTGGCATCTAATCTAATGCAGGAAGAAGAACTGAGTTCTTTGTGACAGTTGCTTCATAGTATTTTCTTACTAGTGGAGCAATTTTCAGGTTCTTCTATATAAAATAAAAATAAATGTTATTTTCCCTGTCAAAACATCTGCCTCAGTGTAAGAATGAGATGCTGTGAGTCTTTCTCCTGGGGCTTGGCCTTGGTTTGCCATGGGAAAGGGACTGTTTATATCTTGAGCACACTAGGCATTCCTATGCTTTGGGTACTGGGTAGAAAATAAAGCATGAGAATCACATTTACCACTTGAGAAAACACACAGGCACAAAAATGTCCTGGATCTTGCAGGAGATCCAAGTAGAAGAGACCAAATGAACATATGCTGAAATTTTGAAACTGGCTTTTGGCCTTTTAAGTTTACTGTACTTCATTTGTTGGGCACAGGCAACTTCAAAGCTGAAAGACAAGCCAGGGATTGTGGCATCTGCTAGAATCCTAGCACTGAGGAGACTGAGGCAGGAGCATCTCAAGTTTGAGACCAGACTGGGCTACATATAGCAAGATCCTGTCTCAAAGAACAAACAAAGTGAGTGTGTGATGAACCACACTCGTAATTCTAACACTTGGAAGGTGAAGTCAGGGAGTATCAGGAGTTCAAAGTCATCCAACCTTGGCTATTTGTGACCCTATCTCAAAAAGCCAAAACAAAAACTGGCCAATCAGCCAAACAAACACCTCCAAAACCAACCAAATGAAAAGGCCAACATTATAGCGCAAGAAGAAAATAAATACTGACAAGTGATTTGCCAGCATCAACTCTTCCTTGCTTCCCCTCAGCTGAATCCCTATGTACACAATACAGATTGCCTCTTCTTTCTGTCCCAGTAGCTAAAAGTTAGCTTTGGCAGCCTTTCAGAAATAACCAGGCTACAAAAATGAACAAAGTTTCCTCTGTGCACTGGCCAGACATTCCTGGAGCATCACTGAGGACTATCCCTTTACCTTCAAGATGATAGTCCAGCTGGTCATGTATGCTGGGGAAAGATGGAGGCCTGGCAGCCACTTCCTAGTGGAAGCTGATTCTATAGGAAGAGTCTGTCTTTTTTGGCCCCTGAAGAACAGAAAGCCCCAGCAGGGGTTCCCCCTTCTCTCTCTCTCTCTCTCTCTCTCTCTCTCTCTCTCTCTCTCAAAACTCTCTCTCTCACACACACACACACACACACACACACACACACACACACACACACACACAACCTATCTGCTGCTCCAGCTGTTTCCCTGTGGTCTGTGCCTCTTTCTTCTAATTTTCTGGTGTCCCTCAACACCTTCTGTTTCCTCTGTCCCACAGCTTATCTTATCCTCCGAGATGGACAGTCCTACTCATTGAAATGGACAAACTTCCTGGGAAAACGGCCAGCTGCAGACATAGAAGGCCTGCTCTGCATTCAAGGAGGAGATCTAAAAGAGGCTAGCATGCACAGACTGTTGTCCTACAGGCCTGCCACACTGCCTGAGGACTGCACAAAGTTTTCCCCATTGAACTGATCTATGGAGGAGTCATATAGGCGCCTGTATCAATAGGATGAAACTCAGGGTTGGAAAAACAGCAAAGAATTTGGATTCAGGAATTCTAGCTTTAAGACCTGGCTCTGCTTTTTACTTTTGTATATGAATAAATGCGAGCCATTTAACCTATTTTGGTTTTCGCCTTTGAGAAATGTGGAATATTAATAATGTCTATATTTGAGGAAGTACTTTGAAATGTAAAATATCTATACTTTAGGATCATTGTAAAGATTAAGTGAAAGTGTATGTAAAGGCACTTTGTGTACGTGTATGTGTGTGTGTGTGTGTGTGTGTGTGTGTGTGTACCAAAGCAAGCAAGTTTGGATAGGTTTGGAAAGCCAGACCATATGGCATAGCTTTGGAGGGTTCCAGTAAAAATGAGATTCTGGGGAGTCTGGAGAGAATACAGACTGGAGAAAGAGCTTTCCTGATTCGTAGTTGTCTCTCTGCAGACTGACTAGCACCAGCTGTGAGAGCAAGTCAACTAAACTATCCCCTCTAGGAGATGAGATATAGATTTCGAAGGCTCATTGGTAGAGGAGTGGGGAGATAGTAGGATGAGCACTCTGAATAGAACCTCCCAGCAGGGGCTGGTGGGACTAAGGTAAGTAGCAAGCACAATCATCAGCTATACTGTGAAGAAGTCTTGAGTGTCCAGTCCTGGAGTGGCAGGATGAGAGGTGGAACCAGACCTTGGGGAAATTTGTTTGGTGGGAGGGATGGACTGGTAGGTAAATCTGGTGCTGTGATAGGTCTCAGCAGACCCTCAGAAAACAGAAGAAAAGCAGCTGGGGACTGGAAATGTTGTTCAGTTGCTAGAGTGCTTGCCTAGTGTGCACAAAGCATTGAGATCCATCCCCAGCACCACATAAACCAAAACCTGTAATCCAGAATTTAGGCTTAGGAGGTAGAGGCAAGAGGATCACAAGATCAAGGTCATCCTTGGCTACATAATGAGGTTGAGTCCAGCCTCAGATATTTAAGACCCTGTCTCAAAGTAAAATAAAATAGATAATAAACAAATAAAACATAATAAAGTAGGACTTTGGAAAGAAGATGGATGCTCAGAACAGATAAGTGAAAGGGACGAAGATGGTTTTGAGGAACTAGCAGGTCTATTATTACTTACCATTTTATTACACTCTTGAAGACACAGGCAACATCTATTTCCTATACTAAGGGACTTGAAGATGCTAGCTGTATAGGGCTAAGTTTTGTTCCCTTGTACCCCCAGTGCTGTGCATCGGACCCAGGGTCTCACCCATGCTGGGTAAGCTTTTTGCCACTGAGCTATACTCCCCCCAACTAAATGATGATCATTTTTAATTGTTATCATTTAATAATAATTATTATTATTATTTTGGTCTTTTTGAGACAGGGTCTTCCTGGAACTCGCTACATAGAGCAGGCTGGCCTCGAACTCACAGAGATCCACCTGCCTCTGTCTCCCAAGTGCTAGGATTAATGGTGTGCACTAGCACGCCTGGCTATTCTTATCATTATTAAAAACTGAGGAAGATGGAAATTATGAGGGGCTCTCATACAAAGGTGAGAGAGAGAGAGAGAGAGAGAGAGAGAGAGAGAGAGAGCACTAAGAAGCTCGAGTGATAAATGTCAGGCCCCATATAGTCACAGTCATTTTTTACTCTTCCTTCTCTGCTTAGCACACTTACCAACTTGATGAAAGAGAAAACTTGACTTATTCCTTAGACATGCATCCAGCCACAATGACCCATCAGAAATGAGATCCTTTGAGTCTCAGCATTTGTGCACTCTTGCAACTCAGAGATCTAAATCAGCCCGGAGTCCCCTGAACCCAGACACAGATAAACAGCTGGTGCCAAAGCCCAAAGAAAATCAAAACTCATACACTCAAGATGAAGCCTTCTATACAGAACAAATCAGATACAGTCCATCTGTTGAAAAGCTATACTGAATCAGTTAACAGCATCACTGGTTTTAAAATCTGATCCTCCCTACTTTTGAGTAGAGTGGATAATGTGGGGACTGAAAAAGAAAGAAAGAAAAAAACCCACTGGGAAAATGGTTAATTAGTCTTTCCTACAGTGTCCTAGCCAACCATGAAGGCCTCCTAAGAATAACACAAATTAATAAGAGTAAAGCGGGAAATACTAATATCAACACTAATTAAAACCCAACTGTATATGCACCGATTTTATGAAACAGTACAATGCAGTCATACATTCAACTTTAAATTGCCTCATTTCTTTTTCTGTGATGTTGGCAAAGTAAAAATTGTTCAAGTTTATGTTGAATCTCTGTGAGAGTTTGTTACTCATATAGTTGGTTTTGTGTGGTTCCTATGATAATCTAAGACCAATTAAACATAAATTACTATCCCGGGGACTTAGATTTCTGGCTGTATGAGCCAGAAGAAGCTTCTAGAAGAATAACTTTGGCCTCCAGTCATTTATTCAACACAAAATGGTGACTAAATTTTTTAAAAAGAAAAGCTCTTTTCAGCTCTGAATCATTAATTGTGCAGATCTGAGGTATGCAGTAAGATGTAAGCTGGGTATGGTGGCACATGCCTGTAGTCCCCACACTCAGGAGGCAGAGGCTCTGTCAATTCTAAGCCAGCCTGGTCTACACAGTGAGTTCCAGATCTCAAAACAAACAAACAAAACAACAACAACAATCTTCCCAATAGATACACAAGGTTCTCTTTTTGTTTGTTTTGTTTTTATTGAGACAGGGGTTCTTGTAGCCCAGGCTGGCCTCAAAATTGCTATGTGACTGAGGAAAACTCTAAACATCTGATCTTTCACACTTCCATCTCCCAAATGCTGAGATTCCAGGTGTGTACTACCATGCACAGCACAATTGTTTTCTTTTGTTTTTGTTTCTTGTTTTGTTTTGGGTTAAAGTAGGGAATCTTAAAACTTTAATGAACTACAACATTTCTAACTTTCCCCCTCTGCTTTCCCCCAAACGAGAAGTATTATAAGTAAGATCACTGCAAGATTTTTGTTTGGCTGCAATGGTGATCATGGTGATATTCTGCTCATGGCTAGCTGTAGATGAGAAAATGCTCTGCTACAAGACTGTATTCATTAAGAGTAATCACTAAGAATACCTCCTAAGAACTTAACTTGTTTTTAAAATCTGATCCATTGATTTGTCTTACCAGTCAGGGTCCCCTCATCTCATACAGTGTGGTTAGAACCCAGCTTGTATGCTCAGAAAATGTTAAATTTTTTCCCAGGGATAGACTTTATAGTTGAGGGTAGCTCATGAATCAACAGTGGAAATTAAAATCAAATATAAGGGAAAATTTGCATGTCAGAAAATTTTACCTGTTTTTGATGAAATGACCTGAAAAGGAAAATTGAGAAAGTTAGAATAAGGACAAATACCGCTCGCAAAAACGAAAGGCATCAGTCAGAGCGACACAGTAAGCTCAGCATTTCTGTGCAGAGTGTGAGCAGCTTTTCCATTCATTGAGTGCTCTTTTGTTTGACTCACCTCTCAGCACTCTAGTCCCAAAAAGGATTCAGAGGCTGGCAGCAGATCACACTACTGTTTTGCTTTTCCCCTTGAATCTGCCTATTGTACCAAGTCAGAAGTTGTTGATAGATTTTTCAGAAATCTTTGTTCTTCAAATATAATGCTGATCTTGTTTCCTTTCTTTAGTCTGCCACGTTACGTTTCAAACACACAAACAAACATCAACAATCTTAGTATGATCCTAAAGTGTTTCTAATTCTATCTCCCTAACCCCCAGGCCCTTCAAAAAGACAGAAAGATAACACAACACTCTTTTTCCCCCCTCCAAATAGATGTGGGTAGTTGAGAAAAGGGACTCACCATTTTAAGACAGATGAGACTGAATCCAATCAAAGACAAACACTTCTGTGCTCTTCCAGCCATCCTGTTAAGACAGAGCCCTCACATGGCACCAAATACGATGATATGTATGGGTCCTTTTTGGTCACCCAAAGCAGCACTGAAGGTTTCGGGGTGTGGGGCAGTAATGCTGGGAACAGATGCTGGAACTCGCCTCTCCTTCTGTGTGGCGCTTACCTGTAACTAGGGGCACTTGGATACTGGCAGGGACAGGTCTTGAAAAAAAAGAGTTGGAGGAAGCCATGCCAAGCAGGCCAAAAGAGTTATTGTGATCTTAGTTCCAAGGAAATATGTACAATACTCTCCTTTTTTTTTGTAAAATATTTTCTTCTAAATAGAAAGCTTACAAAGCTTTACAAAAAATTATTGATATGGTAGAATGATGGTTTTAAACTCGGGGATCCTGATCAGTTTTATTTTTTATTTTTCACCTTTATTCAAGGCTTTTCTGTGTACTAGTGATCTTTTTGCCACTGTAGTAAAAAATATGTGACAGAAATAACTTGAGAGAAGGAAGATCTGTTTTGGCGCATGATTTCGGAGGGTTCAGTCTGTGATTGCTCTGCCCCACTTGCTAGAGAAGAATAAATACCACACCATCTTCAGTTACATGGTGAGCTCCAGGCTAGCCTTGGTTACATGAGACACTGTCTCCCTTCCAAAATTAATAATAAAGGGGCTGGAGAGATGGCTCAATGATTAAGAGCACTGGCTGCTTTTGCAGAACTGGATTTGTTTCCCAGCACCCACATAGCAGGCTAACAACTGTCATTAACTCTATTTCCAGGAGATCTGATGTCCTTTTCTGGCCTCCCTCCATGGGCATTGCATGCACAAGGTGCACTTACATTTTTTTAATTAAAATTAAAAAAAAAATTTTTGTGGATGAGTGTATGTATGTAAGTGCACCTTGTGCTACAGGGAGACCCTATCTCAAAAAAAGACCAAAAAAAAGTTTAAGTTTTTATTTATTTATTTATTTATTATTTATTTATTTATTTATTTATTTTTGTTTTATGTGTATTGCTTACATGTACGTAAGTGCACCTGGGTAGTGCACTGTACATGCCTTTAATTCCAGATCTCAGGAGGCAGAGGCAGGCCAATCTTTGTGAGATGGAGGCCAGTCTGGTCTACATAGTGAGTTTCAGGCCAGCTGGGGCTACAGGAAGACCTTAGTTGAAAGAAAAGGAGAAAACAAAGCTAAGTGTTATGGTGTACATCTGTAACCCAAGAAGTGCAGATGGGCCTGATGACAAGATTGTTCAGTGGATAAAGACACTTACTGTACAAGCCTGAGACCTGACCTGCCTCTGACACACACACACACACACACACACACACACACACACACACATACACACACACACAAAGGTGCACACACATGCACAAAAATAATGAAAATAAATAATTTTCAATAAAATTTAAGAGATTGACTAGAGAGATGGCTCAGAGGTTAAGAGCACTGACTGCTCTTGCAGAGGACCCAGACTCCATTCCCAGCACCCACATGGAAGCTAACAACTGTCCATAACTCCAGTTCCAGGGGATCTGATGCCTTCTTCTGACCTCTGTGGGCATTGCACCACATGGGTGCACTTACACACATGCAGGTATACATTCATACATACAAAATAAAAAAAATAATAAAATATTTTTAAAAAATAAAAATGGGCACTTGGGAGGCAGAGGCAGGAGGATTTTTGTGAGTTCGAGGCTGGCCTGGTCTACATAGTGAGTTCCAGGACAGCTGGGGCTACAGGGAGACCCTGTCTCAAAAAGACAAAAAAAAAAAAAAAAAAAAGAAGAAGAAGAAGAAGAAGAGGTACAGAGAGGAGAATCAGGAGTTCAAAGTCATCCTCTGTAACATGGTAAATTAGAAGTCAGCCTGGGCTACAAGAGAACCTGTCTCAAAAATAAAGAAACAGGGTGGGGGAGGGGCAGGGATAGAGCACTACATAAATAACAACATGGATAAATTTCAAATGATTATACTGAACAAAAGAAGCCAAAGAGACAAGGCTGGGGGAGAAGAGAAAAGAGAAGAAGCTAGATGGTTTCATCCACTTATGTAAATTTCTAAAAAAATGCAAACTACTCTAAAAACAGAAAGCAAATCAATGGTTACTGTGCTGAGTGGCTTTAGTTGTTAACTTGACACATCTGGGTTGAGGGCGCCTCAATTGGGGAATTGCCTCCATTGGACTGGACTGTGGCTATGTCTATGGGATATTTTCGTGATTTTTGAGTGATGTGGGAGGGTCCAGCCCACTGTGGGTGGTGCCACCCCTGGGCAGGTTCTTTGTTGTATAAGAAAGCAGGCTGAGCAGGGGCCAGGGGAGCAAGCCAGTAAGCAGCATTCCTCCATGGCCTGTGCTCCAGCTCCTGCCTCCAGGTTCCTGCCCTGAGATCCTACCTTGGGCTCCCTGATGAATTGCAACCCAGGATATGTAAGCCAAATAAACCCTTTCCAGCCCAAGTTGGTATTGGTCAGAGTATTTCATCACAGCAATGGAGAAACAAACTAGAACAGTTGCCTAGAGACAGGAAGCATAGGAAGAAAGTATTACAAAAGCACAAGAGGGACTGGAGAGAAGGCTCAGCAATTAAGAGCACTAACTGCTGTTGCAAAGGACCTGGTTCAATTCCTGGCACCCACATGGCGTCTAACAACCATCTGTAACTCCAGTTCCAGGGGACCCAATGCTCTCTTCTGACTTCTGGGAGCATTGCACTACACATACACACAGGTACACATACATACATGCAGGCAATACAAAAAATAATAATTACAATATTTTTTAAAAACACAAGAGGAACCTCTTAGGGATGGAAGATTTGTTCATTATCTAAGTTGTGCTGATGCAGTCATGTATACATATATTTCAAAAGCATATTGTTTGTTTTAAACATGTACAATTTGTTGGATAGTATGTTATTCTTTCTGTTGCTATGACAACTTAAGGGAGAGTTTATTTTAACTCATCATGGTGGGGAAATTCTTGTGGCAGGAGCATGAGGCTGGTCACATTGCATCCAGTCAGAAAGCAGAGATCTGTGATTGCTAGTGCTTATCTCAATTTCTCTTTTTTATTTAGACCAGGACCTCAGCCCATGCAATGGTGCTGCCCACAGTTGCTTTGGAATCTCAGCAACTCAGTCTAGCTAATCTCTCACAGGTATGCCTGGAGGCTTGTCCCTTAGGTGATTCCAGATTCTGTCAAGTTGGCAATCAATATTAACCATTACAGTCAGTTATACCTAATACCTATATATGCCAAAATAAAGCTTAAAAAATCAGTTTAAGGCTGCTGAGATGGTTCAGTGGTAAAAGTACTTGCTGTCAAGCCTGACAACCTGAGTTTGATCTCTAGGATCCACATGGTAGAAGGAGAGAACTGATTTCCACAAGTTGTCCTCTGACCTCTACATGTACACTGAGACACTTGGTCCCTCTCACCACATAGCCAATCAATAACAGTTTAGCCAGGCATGGTGGCATGTGCCTGTAATCCTAGTACTTGGGAGGTAGAGGCAGGAGGATCAGAAGTTCAGGGTCAGCCTTGCCTACATACTGAATTTAAGGCTAACCTGAGACGCATGAGACCCTGACTCAGAACAAAACAAAACAAAAATCAGTCTGACTTTAGAATGCTAAGCTCCTGCCACTTAGGCCCTCTACCTTTGTGCTCGCTACTGTGAATCCAGGCATTTTAGTTTGTGTACTCAGTAAATATATATGGAATATCCATTACATACCAAGAACTGTTCTGGATACTAGGTTATAAACATACACAAATTGAAGCCCTGCACTCATGGAGTATAAACTTTAGTAGAAGACCAAAATAAACAGCTACAGTAATAAAATATGCCAGGTGTTGCTAAACGTTATAAAGAAAAACAGACCAGAGTAGAGAGAGAATATTAAAGGACACAGTGTGTATATATAGTATCCAGGAAGAACTCTGGAAGCCAGATGCTGCACAAGGGAAGGGAGAGAGGGAGCCCTTTGAAATGTAGGAAAAAGAGTATACCAGCTAGAGAGAAGAGGAAGGGCAAAGGCCCTGAGGAGGATGAGGATTTGGGTTAAGACAGAATGAGCACTCACTCACAGGGAGCATTGGTAGCAGACAGTCTGGCAGTTGTCTTCCTCTGACTTGCTGTTGGTTGATGGGAGTTTTCTTGCTCAAAGTCACACTCTCCACAACTATATTCAGTGACTGGAGGATGAAGGATTACCAGCTCCCCTTGCCTGAATCCAGCATAACTCTGGAGAGTTCTGGATGGTATGCCATGGTACCCACTGACTCTGGGGTGAGAGTGTTGCAGGAGAGGTACCTAGGTGTATGTCTGTCCAGAATTCCAGAGGTGGGACGCTCAAACCCTGTGGAGTGTGTCATTGGGAGCAATGGTAAGCAAGGCCACTCCTGCATCTACCCTTGGGTCAAAGCACTTTGCTTTACCTGTGTGGGGTACAGCACCACATAAGATTCACTGCCTTAGGTTATATACTATGCCCTGAAAGGTGGAACCCTACACTTTCCTTGTATTCTCTCTAAATGTACTTTTCCTGTGCTCTCCCAGGGTTACTAGTGACATTTATACTCATGAATGTAGAGACACCAGTCAGCATGATTGCCTTTTCTTATGTTCAGTCATTTGCGTTCAGGCTCACAGAAGGCTGAGAGCTGTATTTAATTTACATCCGGTTATCACCAGACAAGTATGCTAGAAAGAGACCTCAGTAAAGATTTGAGGATGTTTACAAGGAAGTGATTTATGATATTGGACAGTGGAAACTAAGCAAGATAAACAAGGAAGTGAGGCCTGAACTAATTCATTGCAACATAGGCTGAGGTCAGGAGAGGGAAAAGTTGGCAGGGGCAAATAGGCTGGAAGACCCAGTGGGTCAAAGAATTGTCGGTTGGGATAATAGAGGATGTAAATAGGAAACATAGAAGTCGGTAGTTAGCCAAATGCTTCCCAGTCAACGTGTCAGAGAGACGTGTGCATCAATGTTTATT